GCTCTGGGGCCTCCGTGCTGGGTTCTGTGGGGCTGGGGGTCTCCTCCACCTCTGTGGGAGCAGCGGTCTCTTCCTCGGCAGCTGAGAACGGGGGACAGAGAGAGGGAGGCAGGGTCCCTGGGGATGTCCTCAGTTCTGACAAGCCCACCCTTGGGCTGAGTGGTCCTGCTCAGCTGACAGCTAGCAAACATGGCTGAGCTCCACGGTCAGCCATGGGGGACCTGGGACAGCCACCAGGACAGCACACAGGGTCCCTCTCTGCCCAGGAGGACCTGCCAGTCCTCAGGGAGACCAGGGGAAGGCACGAAGGGTACCAGGGCTCAGCCCAGAGCAGAGGGGCATCCTGGGCCCATTCACCCACCGGCAGAGAGAAGGTGAAGCCCCCACTGGGTCCCTGCCTGGGGCTCCCACCGTGCACTCACCCGTCACCCCGATGGCAGAGACGGGGCCCACGCGCTGGCCCCCGTGGAAGCCGTACAGGTTCATCTTGTACTTGTGGTCTGGCTCCAGGCCTGAGACGGTGACCCCGTCCTCGTGCCCCGGCACCCGCACCACCTTGGGCTGCCCGTCCCCGTTCTTGTACTGGACCAGGAAGTGGTCAAACTGGCCCTCGGGGACCGTCCAGGTCAGGCTCAGGGAGTCAGGGGTGGCATCTGTCACGGTCAGCTCCCCCAGGCGAGGCTTGATGGGAGGCTCGGGGGTCGTGGTGGGCACCACTTGCGTGGCCTCAGCTTCGTCCTCTGGAGCTGGACAGACACGTACGGGGACAGTGAGGTCCCTACAGTGCTCAGTTCAGACGGAAAGGGTGCATCGCAAAACATACAGTGCCCAGGAGTGGAATGATCTAGTGCATCTCTCCTCTCTGCTCCCGTCCACTGGCTTTTCTATCTCCTCCCCCTGATCTCTCTTCCCCCTCCTCCTCCCCAACCTCCAACACCCAGGTGGCCTCTCCCTGCCCCTCCAGCACTGCCTCTCTTCTGAGCACAGGCCCCTCGGGCCCTGCGTCCCGGGCC